AGGCTCTGTGTTGAGTGGATCATTTAGTCCACCCCCCTATCTCCAAGCAGCACTATATCTAAACCACCAGACAGAATCTATTCAAAATTGATAAGCTCCTGGCCAAGAGATTTCACCTTTTCCCAAGTCTCCTCTTTCTAATGATAATCCTCACTACAGTAAGTTCTTCTTTTGGTCTAACCTAAATCCCCCTTGCTTTATTTCAAACTATTTCTTCTTGTCCACCTTCCACGGAGCTGGGCAAACCCCAGCTCCCAACATAGGCACCATAACCAGCTTGCTTTGTTAGCAGAGAGAGAAGCCAGGGAGCTCTGCACCCCAGCAGTTCACTGCAAACCTGAGAACCTCAACTCCAAGACTGGTGCTCGGTCAGCACTTGCCTCCCACTCCTCTCCCCGGCCCCGCCTGCCATGGTGATTTATGGGCCCTGTCATCTTGAAGGCTGAGCTGTAGAGACAGCTGGAAGAAGCAGAAATCAGGAACAGCCATCCATCTGGCCAAGCAGGGATGCGATGGGAGAGGGAGGCCCAGAGGGCGGCTAAGGGTTCATCAGGAGGCTGGGGCTGGGGCAAGAGGGCAAGGAGGTGAGGCAGCCGGACCCTCTCCAGATGACAGTGGAACAAAGACCTGGAGGGACACTGGCACGGCAGGTCAGAGAGGACGGCGCCAGGGCCAGTAGCTGGGTGACAGAGACGCACAGAACGGAAAAGAATGAAACAAGAGGGCAGGAGGGAGGGAGAAAGGACGAAAGTCAGCAGCACAGAAATCCACCTCAGGAGTTTCTAATTCTCTTTCTTCTGAAGACAAAAGAGAAATGAAGACGACAGTCGGTGAGAAATGTTTAGTGGGGTTTGTTTTTCTGCAGGCACTCCGGAAGACCAGGTTGAAACGCATGCCTGCCACCAGGGACGGTTGGGGCGGGAGGCAGGGTGGCAGGGAGGGGGATCAGCATCACCTCCCCCACCCAGCCCAGCCCTGCAGGGGCAGCTTGGCCTCCTGGGTCTCTCGCATTCGGGTTCTATGCCTCCTGGTCCCTGCAGAGTTTCCGGCCTCGTCACCTTAGCTTCCTCTCGCTCAGTACTTTGCAGCTGCCTCCTTGTCTGTGGGTCAGACTCCCCTGGAGTCACTTTCTCCGCCAGCCTCTCTGCTCTGCTGTCCCACCTGTCTTGCTGCCCCGGGCATCTTACCCCTGTGATGTCCCTCCATACTTGCCTCCCTTCCTTCCCAGGTCTCAGTCTCACGCTGTTCTTGGTCCCCCATCTTTCAGCTGGCAATTGGTCTGTCTCTAACGTCTAAAGGCCACATGTGCCCTGCCCTGAGCCTGGGCAGTGGGTCCAGGTGGCCTCAGAGTGGGAAAGTGGAGCCTCTCAGGCAGGGGTTGCTGTGGAGAGAGGGAGCCCCCACACCTCTCCTAGCTGCAGGCAGCTTGGCCCAAGGCGAGGTGGTGGCCGTCGTTAGGGAAACAGAACAGGCAGCCGGCAGCTCCCTTTTATCCGGAGCGGATTTGATATTCCCGGCCACGCCCTGCTGAAAGCCCAGGCGCATGCACACGCTGGCACACACATACACGGGGACACAGCACCGTAGACACGCACTCAGCAGCCTCAGATAGCCTTGCAATCACACTCCAAATCCAATCTCTTCCCAGGCATCCAGGAACGAGAGACCCCCAACGGCAACCCCAAAACACAGAGAGGTACCCCCACCTCCTGAGAAGCAGGAACCCTTTGGTGGGGAGAGGAATCTCTGTGCACATCCACTGCCCACAAGAGAAGGACAAACAGCCCCAGACTAAACCCACCTGCACCTCGGAGACCCCAGCCTCTCCCCCACGACGGTGGCAGCAGGAGGAGGAACAGCTTTCTGGACCAGGCTCTTCTAAGTCGGAAGAAGGAAAAGAAGATTCCTTCCCAGCACACCACACCAGAACCCTGCCCCCTCCCCTGGGGCAGGAACTCAGGGCCACCCAAGCCCCTCTGCTGCCTGGCTTCCATGATCTCTTTATTTCCCTCTCTCTTTGTATCCCCCTTGATTTATGAAACTAGAAGAGATGATCTCTTATTTAACTTACTTTGAAGTTGATTCAAGTTGTTTCGATAAAAATTAGTCTCATTAAAAAGCAGTTTCCACCTGTGTCCATAGGGTATGATGGTGGCTGCTTCCCTGATGGTTTGGGCAGGGAGGTAGTGCGCCCCCTAGGGGCCAGTGTGGAGAAGGCAGTGCCATGCATCCCCTCCCTCCTTCAACCAGGAGTAGGTGGTGGAAGTGGGGAGCATCACCACTGAGCACTACGCGTGCATGCTAAGTCGCTTCAGTTGTGTCTGACTCTTTGCGACTCCATGGACTGTAACCTGCCAGGCTCCTCATTCCATGGGATTCTCCAGGCAAGAATACTGGGATGGGTTGTCATTCCCTTCTCCAAGGGATCTTTCCCACCCAGGGATTGGACCCGTGTGCTAATAACATATACACTACCTATGCACTCTATGTATACCGTGTACACAAAATATACACGGTATGTGCACTGCATACACACAACACATACGTTACATGCACACTATATGCTGTAGGCTGAATGTGTCCCTCCAAAATTCACATGTTGAACCTAATCTCCAAGGTGATGGTATTAGGAGGTGGGGCCTTTGGGACATGATTAGGCCATGAGGAAGGAGGTCATGGTGTCTGAGCCCACAGACTACTCCAGACACATCTCTGACCCTCACCCGGGCTCTGCCACCTGGAAATGCCCACTTGGGGTCCCCCAATCACGGCTCTGCCAGTGTTCAGCTCTATGGCCACATGCAAGTAGCTTGACATCTCTGAACCATTGCTTCCTGGCCCAATGATGGGGATAATATTAGGTACCCTCTTGAGAGTCATGAGGATTATTCCAGGGTCAAGTGACGACATGGGAGCCAGTGGAGGGGCTCTGAGCAGAAATCTCAACTGAAAGGAGAGCTAAAAATGATGCCTAAGGCCCACACAGGGACACCCCTAGACACATACACCTTCAACCCAGCAGAGGGAGGCGACAGAGAGAGGCAGCAAGGGGGATCCTGGGGGCCAAGACATTTCACAGGTATATGGGGGCCTCCGGAGTATAACATTTCTCTGGCATGGTGCACAGGCTTCCCAACAGCTGGGGAAGCATGGCCCAGTTAGGAACCTGATAATGACATTCATTGTCAGCTCAGAATTGAGTGAACAGGCCTGCAGGCCTCCCTGCCAACTGCGGGTCTCACCTGGGAGCAGAAGTCATGGTGGTGGGGATGTGGGGAGGCCTGTTTGGGCCATGGGACACGGGATGGGGGATCAGGGCTCAGAGAGGGGTCAGGGCTGGTGATAGCAGGACCCAATAAGACGGATTGTCAGACAGCAATCTGGGGTCAAGTCCAGTGAGGAGGGAGGTGGGTGGGGGATACAAACCAGGCTGTGAACTGGGAATAGGACAGCCACAGAGCTGGGCCACTGAGGGGTCCTGTTGAGGTCTCTGGGTCGGCGGGAGAAGCCAGAGCCTCCACGTGGAGGCAGGGCTGTCCGCAAGACCCCCACTTGGCAGCTACTGGGAGCTTCTTGTCTGCTGCAGACAGAAGGTCTCTCCGGAGGTGACAGGGCGCTGTGTTTCCCCTAAAAATAACAGCGATGGGGATTCGTCCGTCTTCTTGTCAGGGGAGAGAACAACTCAACTCCACTTCTGTCGACAGCTCTGCTGGCTCCTCAAAGCCCCCCACGCAAACCAGGGCTGAGCCAGGTGTCAGGTGGGGTCTGAATCAAGCCTTTCTGCCCTGGCCTGACTGCCACCAAGCAGCCTGCACCCTTTCTGTCTCCCCCACCCTCCCACTCAGCTTGATTTTTGCCCCTCAAACCCCCTCCCTTCCCCCAGCAAGGCAGAAGTCCACCCTCTCCCATCCCCGAAGCCCAGGCTATTCCCTTTCATCTGTGTGTGGCCTCTCTCGGCCCAGCCACAGCCAGAGATGGGAAGGGAATATCCCTCTGCCTCTTCCTGGATGGCTTGTGGGGTCCACCCACATGGAGGGGCCATCCACATGGAGGGCCCAGGATCAGTCACAAACCTATTCACAAGGTAGCCCTAATAAAAACTGCATTCTAGAAAATAGGGTGCCATTTCCCCATTTGGCTCTGGCCCATCCTGGAGAGGAAGATGGGGGAGGGGCGTGGAGGGTTGGGGTAGGGGGAGTACATTATTCCATCTCTGGGGAGCTGCCTGCTTCCCCACCACCTCCTGGCACATGCTGTGTATGTGTGCACTCACTCGGTCGTGTCTGACTCTCTGCAACCCTGTGGACTGTAGCCCACCAGGCTCCTCTGTCCATTGAATTCTCCAGGCAAGAATACTGGAGTGGGTTGCTGTTGTAGCCACGCGTTCCGGGAAACAAACTCACTCAGAAGGACAATGCAGATAGTGGAGTGCAGTTTATTACACAGGTGGGCCCAAGGCAGAGTCTCCTCTCAGCCAAGGACCCTGACCAGTTTTTGTGAAAACCTTATATACACTAAGTGTACGTGCTCAAACCCACCTCCCCAAATTCTCTGAAACTAGTCTGAACAAAGGAAAAGAAAGATACAATCAAAGTTAACCTGTGCTTCATATGCCTTAAGCCCAGGTAGTTAACAGTGGACAATTATCAATAGGCCTGTGGTCACACCCCAATAAGCATAATAGACTGTATGATTCTATTCAGTTACACAGATAATTAGGGTATTCTTTTAGGCAATGGAGAGTTTAGGTACGAGCCCTGGGGCTCTTCCTTCCGGGGCCCTGGTTTTCCAGTTGGTATGTCATTTCCATAGATACTGGGCATAGAGCTCAGAGTCCACAGTCTGGCCCAAGATGGTATCCTACCTTCAAGATGGAGCCTGTTCTGTCTGTTTCCTCCTTCATTGCCACTTCCTCCTCCAGGGGATCTTCCCCACCCAAAGATCGAACCTGAGCTTCCTGTGTCTCCTGCATTGCAGGTGGATTCTTTAACCAGGGAGCCATGAGGGAAGCCCCAGCAAGTGCTTTTATTTTTGAAAGTCATTCAGTCATGCCTGACTCTTTGCAACCCCAGGGACTATACAGTCCATGGAATTCTCCAGGCCCGAATACTGGAGTGGGTACCCTATCCCTTCTTCAGGGGAACTTCCTGACCCAGGAATCAAAGCGGGATCCAGGTGGCCATCTGCTGCAGGTTCCTCCACCTTGCTCTCTCTCGGGGTGCTCAGCCTCCACTAGCCAGCACTCAGGCTGGGAGCTCCAGGCTCACCCCCACTTCCCGCCCCACCTCTCCCACTTTCCAGTATTGGCATTTCAAGTCCTGGAGCAGGAGGGAACTGAGCTGCCCAGCAGGGATGCCCAAGGAAGTCCCCTTCCAGAGGTGAAAATTTGTTCATTCATTCAACAAACATTTATTAAGTACCTACTATGAGGTGTTCAGTGGTCTAGGGTCCAGGTTGAGATCAGTATTTAACAGACATGGTCACTATGCTCATGGAGCTCACACAGGTTGTAGTGAGGCAGATGGACATGAAACAAATAAGCCAAGAATGAATGAGGCCAGGTTAGACTTTAAACTTGCAGTGTAAAATGAGAAGAGAAGACTCCTGAGAGTCCCTTGGACTGCAAGGAGATCAAACCAGTCAATCCTAAAGGAAATCAACCCTGAATATTCATTGGAAGGACTAATGCTGACGTTGAAGCTCCAATACTTTGGCCACCTGATGTGAAGAGTCGACTCATTGGAAAAGACCCTGATGCTGGGAAAGATTGAGGGCAGGAAGAGAAGAGGGTGACAGAGAATGAGATGGTTGGATGGGATCACCAACTCAATGGACATGAATATGAGCAAACTCCAGAAGTGAAGGACAGGGGAGCCTGCAGTCCATGGGGTCTCAAGGAGTTGGACACAGCTTAGCAACTGAAAAACAACAACAGCAATGAAACAGGAAGAGCAGCTAAGGAATGCCTGGGATCTGGAGAGACCTCTCTCAGAGATGCTGAGACCTGCAGGATGAGAGGTGCCCAGCCTTGAGAGGATTCGAGGAAGAAGAGAATGGCAGGGCAAAGGTACACAGTGGGGCAGAGCTCTGGCAGGCCAGGGCCAGAGAGGACCAGAGAGGACCAGGGTGGCAGGAGGCTGAGGAGGGTCACGGGTGGGAGGAAGCTGAGCAAGGCACAAGGGGCTAGATTAGGTGCAGGGCGCAAAGAGCACTTGGGATTGTTTTGGTAATTAGAATGAAGAGCCAACTGAAAGTTTTAATCAGGTTTGGTAAGAATGAATTGAGAGAGTAGCATGGAAACAAATACATTACCGTATGTAAAATAGATAGCCAGTGGGAATTTGCTATATGACACAGGGAGCTCAAATCGGTGCTCTGTGATGACCTAGAAGGGTGCAATGGGGTGGGAGGTGGGAGGAAGGGTCAAGACGGAGGGGACGTATGTACACCTATGGCTGATTCATGTTGATGTATGGCAGAAATCAACACAATATTGTAAAGCAATTATCCTCCAATTAAAAATAAAATAAAGTTTGAATCAAGTTTGTCTTTTGTGATCACTCTGGCTCCTGAATGGAGAGTGGCCTGCAGGGGTCAGGGAGGAGGGGAGGCTCCTTAGTTTGTGGGGGTCAAGTGATGGGAACTGAGGCAGGTGTGTTTCCCAGGTCGAGCTGCAGCACTGGTCAATACATTCAGCTTCTCCTGCTGCCTCGTGTCCCAGCAGGGATGAGGAGTGTGGCCTTTATTTCCACAGCCACCTCTCTGGGGGCTTGTCCTTCACTGGCCCAGCCAGGTTATAAATCCATGTCTTCAGTTACCTGGAGGGAAGAAGGAGACCTCAGACCAGAAAGGTCACCCAGTGGCCAGGCTCCAGCTCAGGGGAGAACCCAACTCCACTCCCAGCACCATTTTGCAGGAGGATATGTGAAGGCTCTAAGGTTCAGGTTATTCTCAGCCTCTGTGCTGGGACTGGGATTCAAGCTCCTCCCAGTACCGCAGGGGAACAAGTAGCAGCAGTAAGAGCTTAGACTGTACACCGGCAACCTGGGCAAGAACTCCAGGTCCACCAGATCCAAGCTGTGTGATCCTGAGAAAATGACTTAACCTCTCTGAGCCTATTCCCTTGATTAAGTCCTGCATTTCTTCAACAAATATTTAGTGAGTATCTACAGTGTTCCAAGTCTTATTTACCATGGATGCTAAGAATGCTACAGCAAACAAAAGAATTTATAGCCTTGAAAGGAAGATGGGCAACAAGGCAACAGTTGATATGACTTACAATCCCTGCTAAGAAGTGAAAACTAGGGGTACAGGGATTTCCCTGGTGGTCCAGTGGCTAAGCTTCCACACTCCTAATGCAGGAAGCCTGGGTTCAATCCCTGGTCAGGGAACTAGATCCCGCATGCCGCAACTAAGAGCTTCGCATGCCTCAGCAAAAGGCCTGGCGCAGCCAAATAAAGAAAAATATCTTTTAAAAAAAGAGGGGTGCACTGGGAGATAATAATTAGGAGAAGGAGGTCTCTTTAGATAGGGTGAGATGTAATGGGATCATACACATATATCCCTCAACACACAGCTGGGTGCATGCTAAGTGCTGGCACCCATTAACCACTATTGCTTGGAACACGGAGGGGAAGGTGAGGGTGTCAGACCTGGACTTCAAGCCCAGAGCTGGAGGAAGGAGGGGCCCCAGACAGCTGAGCCTGCTGTTTCCTCCACCACAGGTCAGAACTCTGGCCTGGACCCTCTTACAGGTGGGCAGGAAGAGCCCAACTCCTGACTCCAGGTGTTCACTCCACTTCCAGGCGTGGGAGGAGAGGAGAGCCCAGCCCCTCCTCCAATGACCTGTCCACTGGGTCCAGATGGTGGGACACCAGGGGTGGCAGGTCCTCACAGAGCTGCCTGGTGGGGATGCAGCCTTCCTGGGCTACAGATAGAATTTTCAAAACCTCTGCTGCCCCAGTCACCCAGGGCTGGAAGCCCCTCTGAGATCCATCCAGGGAGCAATCAGAGGAAGACACGGGCCTCTTCTAGGTGGACTTCAGCCCTGCATCCTGCCTTTCTCCTCTCTCTCTAGCTGTAGTCATCAAGAACGTTTATAACCTCCCAATGGGGAGGAAGCTCCAGAGCTGTAGAACTGGGCATGGCATCTGCCCTTCTCCTGGACCAGAAGGGAGGAGCCAGCTTCTTTGAGGGGTTCAGAGATCGGATGAGAAGGGACGCAGGAAATCAGTCTGAAATGGTCTTTCTCTGCGGGTACCTCTGCCCATGGCCCAAGCAACAGATCATACAGATGGGTCTAGGCTCCGTTAAGAAACCCCCTCTGCTCCCTGGGGACACCGAGTCCCCGCCCAGCCCCACTGCTACCTACCCTCCTCACCTCTCCCAGCATCTGCTGCTCCCCTCCTTAATCCCTCCTGGGGCAAGACAGAGGCACATGGGCCCCTTGAAGATCATCCCAGATCCCCAGGGAGACCCTCTGATCTTTTTCAGGCGTCTCCATTTCCTGGGGTCTCCTTTGACTTTTTCTTTAATTAATAGATTTTATTTTTAGAGCAGTTTGGAGTTTATGGAACTATTGAGAAGGAAGTACAGAGACTTCTCATACATCCCTTTCCACATCACAAAGTTTCCCCTGTTATTAACATCTTGCATCAGTGTGGTCCTTTACCTTCTCCACTTCTCAATTTTGAGCACCCATGCCCTGCCCTGGTTCTGCATCCCCCTCCCTGCTGTCAAATCTAGGGCTCACCACATGCCTGATGTACCAGGTATAACAATGTACCAATTCACCAGGTAACCAATGTGCCAGTAACCAATTTAATCAGGTATCTAATGCACCAGGTAACTGATGCACCAGTTAATTAATGCACTAGGCAAGCAAAGCACCAGGTGACCAACACACCAGGTGACTGATGTAGGTGTTTCCCTCCCTGGCGCTTGCCCCTGCTCCCTGCTGTGCCTACCTCATATCACCAAGTCTCCCAGGCTCCATCCCCCTAGAAAGACTGATTTACAAGAGGGAGAGAGGGGTGTGGGGTTGGGACACTCCAACATCTTTGATCTCCAAGGTCCCCAGCCACCTCCTCCTCCGAGGACCTCAGCCAGGTAAGAGACCCAGGTGAGCACTGGGACTTGGGGGACAGAGCAAACACTGGCCTCCCTCTGGTCCCTCTGACTTCTCTCAAGAAGTTAATAAAACTGCAGGCAAGGATGACCCAGAGGACATGATTTACTCAGGCTGGGGAAAAGCTTTCAATAAGGTCCCTCCATAAAAGGCCATTAAGGGAGTGGAATAACCACAGGCTAAGGGGCAAGTGTTATGGATTCCAGAGTGGTTTAAGCGGAGGAATTAAAGAGGCATTTGGAGCTGAGAGATGTTATTAATAATTGCACTGGGCTCTTGGAAAGGCTTTTCATCTCCTTGAGCTTCCCAGGCACTGATTCCTCAGCACTTGGGTCTTGGTGGATACAGAAGGAACAAGCAAGTGGAGGGTCAGGCTCACCCCACTTTTTAAATTTTATTTATTTTTGGATATGCTTGGTCTTCATTGCCATGTACAGGCTTTCTCTAGTTGTGGCGAGCTGGGGCTACCCTCTAGTTGCAGTGCAGACTTCTCATTGCAGTGGCTTCTCTTGCCGTGGAACATGGGCCCCGAGCATGCAGGCTCAGTAGTCACAGCGCGCGGGCTTACTTGCTCCACGGCATGTGGAATCTTCCCAGACCAGGGATTGAACCTGTGACCCCTGCATTGGTGGGCAGATTCTTAACCACTGGACCATCAGGGAACTCCTCACCCCTTTTAAGCAAGACAAGTGGATGGGATGGGATGGGGTCTTAGAGCCCAGGGTTCCCTGGAAGAACCTACATGACACCTTTTCTAATGCTGAGAGACGAGACTCTGGAAAGAAGGGCCTGCCCTGCTGGGGAGCATGGGGGTGAGGGCCACATCCAGCCTCCAGTCCTTCTGCCAAGGCCGAGAAAACCATGGGAAACTTACAGCGTGTGAAAGCAGAGAATCCACATGTCCCATCTGGAGGCGCCAGGAGACGACTGCTGCCCTGAGGAAGAAGAGGCTACTTCCCCCGGCCTCCTTTGAGCTTGCTCACAGGGACCCTTCTAGAGCCTGGACACAGGCCTGAAGAAGCCTGGGTCTCACCTGTCTGTGGGTACCGCATCCTATCAGAATCTCCTGGACCAAAAGTCCACCGTCCATAAGGTTTCACCCCTTCCTCCCAACCCATCTTTCAAGGCTCAGTTCAAGCAGCACCTCCTCCATGAAGTCTTCCCAGCCCTCACCCTGACTTTGCCCCTCTGAGTTGCACCCCCTCCACTGCCTACTCTCCATAATACACACAAGGGCCCCCCACTACCACAGGGTTCCAGTCCAGCAAGGCTCCAACCTAGGTCCAGGGTCACTGCAGCCAA